AAGCCAGCTTTCGCACTCTCCTCTTTCACCCTCATCAAGAGGCTCTTTAGTTCTTCTTCACTTTCTGTCATTAGGGTGGTATCTTGCATTACTACTCCCAGATTAATTCACTGACAAAGTATTGGTATACTCAACATAGCACAATAGAAAGTATGAATTTATACATCATCTAATTTAAGCCTCTCCTCAGTGCTTCCATGAAATTATCCCCAATGGGTGGCCCTCCAGCCCCCATCTGAAAACCTCCAGTGGAGGGGGACAGCCTGCCACTCTTGTAGGCAGATTGCTCCAGGTTTTAACAGCTCTTATCCAGAAATTCTTCCTGATAGGAGCTTGCTTTCTTTTTTCTATCAGGATTAGAGCTTGATCTACTATCAAGAGCCATTCTGAGTACTGAGATTTCCAAAGGCCTTAAAGATCTTGTTCAATACCACATGTAACATCTGCAGTTTTGATGTCATTCCTCTGGTATATAACAAAATCGATATTTGTATCACTGATCAATTTGTTCATTTCTGCTATTAGTTGCCCTTTGAATATATAAAAGGCAAGCATTCTTCTTGCTTTAATTTAAACACTTTACTTGGTCTAGTCCTAACGACACTTATCTAATCCTTTATAAATTGTGAACATCCACACTTTCTTTTGACACTGAACAAGTCTTCCAAGGAGATGTTTCATTTTTCAGGATGTCATATGGTGGCAATTTTGTCCCAACACTACCATGAAGCATGTTTTACGTTACCTCTGCAAAGATCAGTTATGATCTTTGCACTTTTCTGTTCAACTGTATAATTGGATAGCATCTTAAAGTAAACTGCTATCTCATCCGGGTATCCAGTTGGCTCAGAAGATCCTATGATTTCTCTCTCTCTCTTTCTCTTGTACTTCTGCCCTTCTTGCTGGATTCTGAGCCAGATGCAGCCTAGCGGGTGGCTCATTCTCTAACTCATTCAGGACTGAAATGATGACCACCTTTCCCTGGTTCAAGTACAGGACACTGATCCCAGGCAGTAATGCAAACATTCTTTCTCTTCTTCCTCCTCCTCTTCCCTCTTCTTCCTGATGAAATTTATCAAGATCCTTCCTTCCTTCCTTCCTTCCTTCCTTCCTTCCTTCCTTCCTTCCTTCCTTCCTTCCTTCCTTCCCTCTCTCTCTCATCTATAGGGGATGGACTAGGCAAGAAAGCATCACGTATAAGGAGAGGCAATGGGGGAGGGGGAGGGGTGCTTATACAAAAGGTCTATCAATGGAAGCTCTGTGTTCTCAACCCATGAAAGAAAAGCGATTGGTGTTTGCTTTCCCAGCACAGGCGGTGAGAGATAAAGAAGCAGGGGAATCCACCACTTAAGGGCCATGGTAAATGTGGTCCAGACAGAAGAATGGACCGTCACTATAACCAAAGTGAAGGAAGGGGTTGAAAATTGGAAAGGATTTCTTAGGCTGGCTTCATTTCCAGCCAGTTCACAGACCCCAGAGTAAAGCCTTAGGGGGATGGGACGGGACAGAACGGGATGGGAAGGTTTGTCTCTCCTCCACCCACCCCCCATTCTACTGAGTTCATGACCATACTGCATGTTTTCAGGGAGATGTGCAGTAGCATCTGCCTTGTTTACATGACTCTGGAAAACTACTACGTGCTCCAGCAGCTCCTATCAAGTTATCTGCTTTCCTTATAGCTTTTGTTACTGTATTTTCAGAAAACTAAAGTGTTCTCTCCACTGCACGATTTCAAAGGCAAATTATTTGGGGGAAAAAAATCTCACCTTTCAGGTAAAAATGGTGCTTGCTCGAATGCCTTTGTTCCAGCTGGGCACTTAGAAGCAAATCCCACTGGATTCAAAAGGACATTTCTGGGGCTTAATATTACAACCTTAGTTTACTGATTTTTAAATGATTTTGTTTTTAATATAACTTTTTCTGGCTCCGGAAATAAGAGTTTCAGTTTAAATACTTATGGTAGCACAGTGCAACTGATTTGTTCCTGTATTTTTGTTTCATAATCACAGTAAAGAGGCAGGAAGGTTATGTAATATTTTTCAGAAGACTGAAATGTGCTTTTTTGGAAATGCATGCACTCTCTTCCTGGAGGTCATTCCAAAGGAAATTTTACAGTATGCTGTTCAGAAGCATTACTTCCCAGCAGGGTAGTCTGAATAGATGGCACTTACATACAGGTGCCATGGACCAGCAACAGACCAAATGGAAGGAACAGCTGTCACTCCAGTGTTGGACAGGCAATGAGAGAAGATACTAGAGGAGGTGACAGCTGACATTCTAATCCATCCAAGTAATAAGATAGGGAAAAAAACCATTGCTAGTTGTTTGCAACTATTTTTAACTCTTCCACAGTTGTTTAGAACACATAACCCCTAGTTAGTTAGGGCCTATTGAAACTCTCTAATACATGAGCAAGAGAGGACAGGGACTATGCCAAACAGTCTCACCCCTGATTGGATGGTTTCACATAGCTCCTCCTCTTAAAGTATGCACATGTGGTGTGAATCTCTGCAGGAAAGGGATATACAATGGTCTATATGAAGACTGCTCCCTACAGATGCTGGTATTTTCACAGTTTAAGTAAGACCTCTAGGTAACTTGCAAGTCAGCTATAAGAGACTTCAATTGATATTGTGATGGAAATTGTAGTTCAAGACAATGGGAGGCCTCAGTTTGGCAAAGACTGTTTTAATCCTCCCATACTCATAGAATAATTGTGGGGGGTTTTCTACATCACTTACAGTAAGAAACATAATGCCTTGGGGACTTGTGTTCTAAGTGGGAAGCTAGGTGATGTGGAAGAATCTCTTGCTAACATCATTCTTGAGATGGTACAGATCTGGCTTATGACCTCAGTCTCATTATTTCACCAATATTAATTCAGATCAAATCAAAACAATGGTTATGAGGTGGGCGTTGATGGTCGAATGTGGTTTGGAATAGATCTTTTAGAACTGACTTTGCTATACTGATTATGTCTGTAATCCATGTGAAAAAAAATTAAGTTTCACTAATTGAACTGAATTCCTTCTGTACCAATTAAATATCCAAATCAGTAGCTGTATTTGTACATTCCAAAAGAGAAGGACACATGCTAGAATTTCCTCAGTTTTAGAATAGACAATGAAAAACAAGAACTGGACCAGACCCCTGGTCTGTCTAGCCCAAAAGTCAGTTTTCACAATGGCCAAGCAACTATACAAGGAAGTTCACTTGTCTCCCAGTCACACTGCTGTCAAGGCTAATAGCCATTGATCCCCATGACTTCCATACATTGGTCCAACCCTTTTTTGAAGCTAGCCAAGCTGGTAGCTGGCACTCCATTTGTGGTAGCAAGTTTAATTATGCATTGTGTAAAAAAAAGATTTCTTTTTGTCTGTCCTGATTCTTCCAGGATTCAATTTCATTGAGTGACCTCTAGTTCTAGTATTTTGGGAATGGGAAAATAGCTTCTCCTTGCCACTTTATCCACATCATGCATAATTTTGTACACCTCAGTTTTCTCCCCTCTCATTTGCCTCCTTTCTAGACTAAAAAGTCCCAAATGTTGTAACCTTTCCTCATAGGGAAGCTGCTCCAGGCCCTTGATCATCTTTGTTGCCCTCCTCTGAACCCCATCTACATCCACTATATCCTTTTTGATGTGTAATGACCAGAACAGTACACAATATTCCAGATGCAGTTACACCATTGTTTTATATAACGGCATTATGATATTGGCATCTCTGTTTTCAATACTGTTTCTTATTATCTCTAACGTACTGTTGGCCTTTTTTTTACAGCACGTGCACACTGTGTCAGCACTCTCATTTAATTGTTTATCATTACTCCGAGATCTCTTTCCCTCATCAGTCACTGCCAGCTCTGTTTCCATTAGTTTGTATGAGTAGCTATGATTTTTGGCACAAGTAAGCTACTTTCAATTTTTTAAATAAGGTCAGCTTCCAGCAAAAACAGCAATAGACTAGTGACATACTCTTTTGAGACTGGTATAATTTATAGAGTGTAAGCCTACATAAAATTGGATTGTTGTCTGTGTAGTTGCTTCTTTACTACCATTTTTCAGTGTGGTAAATCTTTAGACTTTCTATCAAGGAAGTTGATGCTTGTTCTAGTGATGGCTGCTGATACTACTAACTCATGATGCCCTCTCTCTTGCTTATGGGGACGCTGCTGCATGTTCCTCCAAATGCTTCTCGGCATTGTTCTGAAGTCCAGCAGTTTCTTGCGCTCAGTACATCGGTAAGCATTTCACTCCATATCTTCTGCAGTGATAATTGTCAGTAAACCTATTGCAGAAAGGTAACTGTCTTTTGCACTAAAAAGAAAAAAGAAAAAAAGTAACTTTATAGCACCTTAAAGACTAGTAAATGTATTACAGTTTTATGGTCTAGAATCTTGCATCTGATGAACTGGACTCTGTTTGATACCATATATCATAATATACATGTTTAAGATGTTAGAAAAACTCTTCATGTTTTTATTAATAATACTTCCACCAAAAAAACCTAAACAGATCTACATATCTAAAAGGCCTGAAATTAACAAGCAATCTTGATTTAATTATCATATTGGGTATCCAAAGTGAGTATCTTGCATCCGATGGACTAAAGTCATCTTTAAAATCCATGGATGGCACATATCTTCCTAAGTATTAATTTTAAAATAATGTATTAATCAGTATTTGCAAAAAAGAAAAAAAAGAACCTTGAACTTACCTGTAACTAAGCAAGATTTTTCCATAAATTCATAAAACACATATAGAAAGTTCCCTTAGTTCTTAACCATAACCTTAATTTAAGAATCTGAAACTAAGGCCCAGGTGTTAGTTCATCACCAAACTACTCTGACCACATTTGCACATTCTGCTAAGACAAGATTCCTAGCTTTCTGTGAACCAGCAGCATTCTGTTACACCCAGACCTTTTACTCCCACCTTGTTTCTCTTGCTTATGTGAATGGATAAATGATCCAGACCCTTCAAGTTTACTGCACGTGTCTAAATCCAAGATCCCCATTACTTGCTCTCAAGCAAGTTAGAAGGCATAAAATGTGTGGCTGGCTTGAAATACCAAATGTTATTGGCAGGAGAAAAATCAGGATCCTGGCTGGATGTAGCTCAGTTGCTTGAAGTGCAATATAATGTGAAGCTACATGCCTTTCTTTGCAGAAATGAGGGAAAAGTTGAATCGCAACCAGAGATTGATGTCTGGGAAATCCTTCGGAAAGCTTCTCCGTCAGAATATGAGAAAATTGCATTTCAATATGGCATCACTGATCTGCGGGGAATGTTGAAACGCCTCAAGCGCATGAAGAAGGAGGAGAAGAAAAGCACATGTAAGAGAACACGTTTTCCCCCCACCTTTCAAATAAATTATCTCCTTTTAGAGAAATGTCCCATGCAAACAATGCATACATTATCTTTTCTAATGGTGACCTTTCTTCCACTTCTATTTATTATCTAGAAAAGAACAGCTGGTTCTATAAAATTAGAAATGAAAGTAGAAACTGGCAAGGGCAGCAGAAAAGAAAGAGGAAATTTAGAAATAATAGAGGGAGCATAAGAAAAATCAGCTAAACCAGTAAAAGTAAAGAAAGAAAAAAGACAGATGGGGTAGAATAACTCAGTACTGAATGAAGATTGGAAGTTGACCCAGAAAGTATGCAAGCCAGTGGTGTTGGCATGATCCAATGCATTTGTCAAAATGACAAAAGCGATGTTGTGCTGTCATCACGGAAGCGCCATCTCTTTTGTATATGCATGCAATATCATGACAGATATCCAGAAGGGCAGAACTTGTGACAGTGAAATACTGTTTCATCACTGGCTCTCCTTGACCCTTCCTATGGGCATCTGTGGTAAGGGGGAGTCAAAAAAGTCAAGGTGGTGGTTGCAATTGAGCAATGAAAGCTTCACCCCTTTGTATATGCATGCAACATCAACTTGAATCAGACAACTGCAACCACCACTTCAACTTTTTTGGCACACACACAACACACATATACTGTACATTTGCCACCTGTGGACATCCCTGATCATATACTTTAAAATGTCTGTGCAAAATATAAATCTTAGCCTGGCTGTAATTTAGTGCAATACAATCCTTCCTCACAAGGCTTCACACAAAGGCTTCATTTGAAAATTGGCTTGCAGGCTTTTTGTTCTATGTAGGTTTTACTGGGAATATATACTTACGTATGCTGTCATAGGGCACTTCCACACAAGAACAACTGATTTAGAACAACTCCAAGATTTGTAAGCTCACATATAGTAAATAGTTCTGAGAACAGGGTTGGTTGGTTTGTTTCTTGGCTGCATTGCAATTTATGGGAAACCCAAGGAAGGCTGGTGTTTTCCTTGCAACACTGAACTTCTGTGAAGCTTGTGACAGAAAGTTTTCCCATTAGGAGGATCTCTTGATTGACTTCAGTTCCTGAGCTCAAGCCAGTCTCCCCAGGATAGTGGTTCAGCCTCTATAGCATCATGCCAAGATGCCATTCTTTCTTTTAAATGCAACAGAGAGTTTGTACCTTGGCAGATTGGCAGCTCCCTCTCATAGCAACCATTCCATCTCATCAACAAAACAGGGTAGGGGATTTCTGTAGTTCCAGCATGGCAGTAGCTTCAGGCAAGGTACCAGCTAATTGGCACTTAATGCACTCCCCTGTTAATCCATGTTCTCAGCATTTTAAGGCTGCTTTAGAAAGATAAGGGAGTGGGAGCAGTAGTGGGAAAATGCCTTCAGTAAGTGTGTAGATTTCTGAAGTTGGGGGGAAGAAATTGCAATCAATCTACTGAAAGAAGTTGGGACTATGTAAAAACAACTAGACATTATAACTGCAAAAAAAAAATACTTCCAGATTACACAAGAATTAAACAACTTCAAATGCTACAGTCAAGAATAGAAGTGGAAAAATCTTACTTAGGTGTTGGAGACTTGAATTCAGCAGGAATCCTTGTTAGGGAATATATTCCTAAGCATATGCAGGCTGAATACCAAAGTACTTATGTACAGCAGTAGAGCCTGCCATTGAAAAAATGGTATTCATTATATTTGAAGTAAATGTTGGATTTATTAAGAAATACATAGGATAGGACATTTTAACAAATGGACTTCCAGAGGAAGAAATGGAGGACTGAAGATGGCTCCACAAAAAGTGGAGCCAATGACTGCAGGAAAGAACCAACAGCCAGTGAGTAGACCAGCTCTTTGAACCTCTCCGGACAAATAGAGGATGGGAGATCACTCACACGTGCTCCAGACAGTTGCTGCTCACAAGGAGACCACAAGACAGTGGTTTCTGGTGGGTTTTGAGCACTGGGAGACGAGGGAATAAACATCTTGCTCAAACCATGGTCGATGCCTTTAAAAGGACACTAAGTATGGGGAAAGTAAGGAAAATATATCTTTGAGTGAATCTTTGGGTAAAATAAGCAAGTTTTTAGAGGCCTCAGATGAATGGGATTGCCTTAATAAAATTGAAACATAAAGGAATGTGCAGCATCCTTGAAGCTGGTGTGAACATTCCTTGAAGTTGGTGTGAACTAGGCTGATTGTAAACCCCTTATCACAAACATCCCCATAGCAATGTAAGGGAGGATGCCTTCTTCCTGGCAGTTGGCACCTTGAATAAATTTGTTTCTTCCTCTTTGACACTATTGCTCTCCTTATAGATAGCAATTGTTCTGTCATTGTAGATAGTAGACAAGAACAGGGACAGACAGTAACTTGAGAAGTATTGCTCATTTAGGTATGCCTGCATCATCATATGAATATGTATACATACTGTATGTCTTCTTTTCCCTTCTCCTTCTTGTAGAACTGTATAAATATCAGGGCATCCATTTTGCCTATAGGGGAGTGTCTCCCACTAACCTTTCGTGGGGCCCCCTCCAGTACGTACTGTCTAATAAGCACTGCAGTGAAGCCTTGATTATTTTGCATTTGTGTCCTGCATTTTGATACCACAGAATTATTCTCACACTGACAAAGAAATGTTAGCTATTGTGTCTGGTTGTACAAGGTTTCATCTGTTTATTTATCGAAAGGTAGTGAAGGCAGTGACAGATCATAAACCCTTTGAAGCCTTTATATATCTATCAATATTTAGGATTGGAAGATAGCTGTTAATCTTGCAGAAATACCAGTTGCAAATTACTTATAGATCAGGAAAGGAATTAATAATCACTGACATTTAATCATGGGGAAGGATCTGATACTGGAAAAGCTGAATTAGCAGTATATTTGATTATGCCCAATCTGTTTATGATTCTAAACTAAGAGGCATTAAGGTTGGTGCCAGCCTTCACCACAGAGTTCAGCAGTCAATCTCGGTGCTCTAGACACTTCACCCCTGATTCAGGAAAAGGCTTACTACTCGGCTTACTTACAACTCAGCTAGATCAAACTTTTTATTGCAGACTAGAAAGAAGCTGTATATATCCTTTACAGTGCAAAGTCAAAGCTTTTATATAAGATTATACTCCAGTTTTTCAACTTCAGAAAATTATACTGGCATAAAATTAGCTGCCCCCATTGCCAAACCCTATCTTACTTCTACAGTCTTGGTCCTGACTCACTGTTGAACAGTGCTGTCCTGGTTCTGCATGTGCAATGCAGAACAAGAAAGGCATCTAGTTGAGTCCTCTGATTTGCAGCTCTCGTTCAGCAGGTCACCAGCCAGTGGGGAAAATATCTGTTGGTCAAGGAACTGCAGCAGGAAAGGGGCAGGCCTGTCTGCAATCCTCTGCCCATCATCTCTGGGGTCTTTTCTGTGCCCCTCTTTCTACCCCTCTTCTGAAATAATCAAGTTGAATAGTTAAAAAAAAAATCAGAATCATAAATAGAACTGAGTCACAAGAATTACTTTTATTTAGGACTTGTCTCATCTTCCTTTGCCTTGTATAGGCAAAAACGTATATTGTTGTACTGAATTTGAATGTTATTTAAATATCCAAAATCCATTGCATGAATATATTTAAAAGCAGATTTAAATGCAGGAGGATGACAGTGATTTCTTGCGATTTCTTGTCATTCTAAAGCGATTCCAGATGACACTTGTATTGTGGAATTGTCTGTCAGGCATAGAATTTTAGCCTGCCTCTTTTTGCCCACCAGCATTTCTATCTTGTTTTATATCACAAAAACACCTACTCAAGTAAAAAAAAGCAGAATAGCTTTTGATTAGTAGAGCTAGGAGCTTTCCATTTGGCAGTATCTGAGTTACAGGATGTATTTAAAAAATATGAATCTTAATTTTAAACCCATTTTATCCACAGGATTTCTTGTCATTCTAAAGCGATTCCAGATGACACTTGTATTGTGGAATTGTCTGTCAGGCATAGAATTTTAGCCTGCCTCTTTTTGCCCACCAGCATTTCTATCTTGTTTTATATCACAAAAACACCTACTCAAGTAAAAAAAAGCAGAATAGCTTTTGATTAGTAGAGCTAGGAGCTTTCCATTTGGCAGTATCTGAGTTACAGGATGTATTTAAAAAATATGAATCTTAATTTTAAACCCATTTTATCCACAGCATTTCTGAAGAGGCTGGATCCTGCATATCAGGTTGACAAAGGGCAGAAAATCAAATTAGTAGTAGAACTTGCTAACCCAGATGATGAAGTTAAATGGCTCAAGAATGGGCAAGAGATCCAAGTGAGTGGCAGGTAATCAAGAGAACAAAATCAGAGTATTTGGATTAGTATTATACAGTAATATGAAATATTATATGGATATAATGTGGAATATAGGAAATTATTAATTATCAAAACTGGGAAAGAAGGAAATGGGATATTTCATCAGAAGGGAAAAGGGAAAGAATAGCAACCAGAGGCATCTGTGGGTGGGTGGGTCGGAGACAAAAGTCAAATTTGTGGTTGCAACTATACAATCAGAGCCCCACCCCATTTTTATGTGCAACTGTGGAGGGTGGGTGGGCTTTAATTGCACAGTCATGGCCATGATCTTGAATCTTTTGATACCTCTACCCCCCCCCCCAAAGCCCGCATTAGCAACAAAAGCTGTATGCAGTTGACATAATGAGGTGGGATTAATGCTTACTATAATATAAGACTGCTAATTCATATACAGATTTTCATGACTGGCTTTTCTCTTTTCTCTGTTCACATCTGCCTTGAAATGAACCCCATCAATGGTCTGTTTTTAGCAAGTAAGTTCTTGTATCGCACCTGTTGTTTGTTTCATCTACTTTCCTTCATTTATAATATAGCAGAAAAATATGATTTTTGCTGATTTTTTCCAGTGTTTCAGATGGAAGGGTTACAATTACAAATGAAGGCAATCTAGTTTTGGGGGTCTTCTAATACAAGTTTTACTTGTCATAATTGAATGCCTTTCAACTAATGATAACTTACTGCATGATCACTAAGTCATAAGGAAATGGTTTATCTATAATAGAGCTATGGTGACTACCTCTGCCTTATTAAGCAGCTTATAAAGATATCAATGTTATGCTTTTTGTTATCTGCATAACTGCTGTATGATTAATTGTTTTCATGCACAGTCCAAGGAAATGATGAGTCCCTTAGTAGTTCTTTGCATTTTATTATTATTATTTTTTTTGGTTCTCTGGATCCGGATGAGGACATATATAATACATACCCATTATACAATTCTTTTTGGGGGGTGAACAATATTATGTAAAGCACAGAAATGGGGTAAGAAATACTGTAATAAGCCAATTGTTGTGTTTATCAGCAGTAAGGCACAAGACAATCCAAATATTGTAAGATGATATTTATTAAAGAGAGAAACAATGGTAAAGAAAGAGAAGCAGCTTGCTAGAACAGACAGATATAAGAAAAGCTGGTGAGTCATTTCACACAGAGCCCCATTAAAAGGACCATACATTGCACCAATGGAATTAAGGCATGAGATAAGAGAAAGAGAAGAAAATACAGCTAAATCTAGTTTCCACCAAACCACTTGTTTTTACTAGCCCATACCTTTGCCCTTGAAAAGGGTCTTTGTTTTCACAATGCCTACACCCCATTTCATACATTGCCATTCTCCACCCCTCTCTTTTTGAGGATTTCATCAATTCCATCCAGCTTTCTCACTCTTCCCCTTTCTTTCAACCCATTCACTTTTATTGATGTATTTGTTTTATGATTTGACCCTGATTCATTCTCTCAAACCGCTCCAATGTATTTCTTTAATACTGAACATTCTTGCATTAAATCCATGTCCATTCAGTGTCATTCATTGTTCACCTATTGCTTTTTGTTTTACCACATATATCTTAAGTATCCATTCCCCCTGCAGTTAATTTATTTCTATGTTTTTCCTCACATTCCCAACTCTCATTGCCATATAAAAAAGTTTCCCCTTCTTTTGATAAACATCCATTCTTTGCCACCAATTATATACTACCCACTACTTCTCTACAGCATTCACATGTCTTAAAATTTCTCCATCCATCTTCCCATCTTTCATAAACATTTACCAAGGTACCTTATTTCATCTGTTTGCTACAATTTTTCATAATTAAGTATTTGTTCACACAGTTTTCCCTGTCAAACTCAACCTTATTGCTCATGATACATTTATTTTCACCTCCATGTTCCTCAGTGCATTATACAATCTAACATTCATTGCAAATCATTTGGATTGTGAGTCAGTAACACTGCATCATCTACAGTCTGCATACATAACTGTGTATATCTTCAAATCCATGAGCAACATACCTCTAATTTCATCACAAGCGTTTCTTATATTTTTATCCATGAATACATTAAAAAAAAGGGGGATTACCACAAATCCTTATCTTAGCGCTTAGTGCTGAGTCATCTGCCAAGCATTGCCTTTATTGTCATGCACACTTTACTTTTATTTTCATATATATATATATATATA